ATTTTAATAAAATTTATATATATATATATTTAAAGTCCCTCAACACGTAGCCACCTAGCGGTTCAATGTGGAACAATGACAGGAAAATCACAAAAATTTGTTGCCGTGAAATCACCTTATATTCTTACACCGTGACCAGAACTGACGATTTTGAATAACACAATTCAAATACTTTTTGTAAGTAACAATATAATTGCGATCAAATCATATTTTTTTGGATTTTTAAAAAGTAACACTTGAAAATTCAATTTTATATGAAGTAAATAATTTTTCAACTTTTTTACTTTCTTTTAACACGACGACGATGTTCCTCTGTAAGAAAATAATATAAACTTCTTCGTTGGGAATAATTTCTCGAAGCATGTTTTTCTTTTTTACCAAGCAGTGGATAATAATGTGGCTGTAAAATAATGAATCGGTGAGATATACAGATTTGAATGCGATTTATTTGATGACACAATTAATTCTCGTTATTTGGATAGAGCTCAGAGTGCGGCGCCGTGTACAGTGTATATAAATACGGTACAAACGTAAAAAAACCTGTAAATGCGACTGTATTATCGTGTATGTATTATACGTTGACGCACCCCCTTTCCCCGTCCACTCCTCCCTTGTCGTAGCCGAGGAGCATCGTACGCTGATTTATGTACGTTATATACATGTACATTGGTTATTCTGGATCCCGCGTTATCTCCCGCGATTGTAATCAGTATTTGAAACATGTTTTTTTTCCATTTTCCGCATTTCTTGAAAAGATGTAAATCGTTTGATTTTTTAGAAGTTAGATTATGTTTAGAGCAGTAAGCTCGCAGTTTGTGAAATTACACAAAAGATGAAAGGTGAAATTGTTCGCATATAATCATGTTCTCACGAAAGATAAATGTTTACCATATTTTGCGATGAAGCTAATAATTCCATCGACGTCATGAAGTCTGTAAAACGATGAGAATTTTGCGTTATGAGAGTGCTTAAATTTAATTATTGTGTAAAAATCTGGAGTTTTATGAAAAAAATACATAAAGGATTACAGATGCAGAAAATGTAAGGAAGGTAAAATTGTCGCGGGAGATATCGGGGCCCATATGTGGGGGTTTTCGAGTCAAATTCGCGCGTACCTTAGCTTATCTCGCTTTGTATCTCGTATTTACAACGTTACATGACCAGAATTATTCACGTACCTTACAAACTAATTAGAAATTCCATTTTTATAATATATATATATAATATTTAGCGCCGTCGTCATTCAGGTATGAGCGTATATATATATGTATATATATATATATATACTATTTATATATATTATATTAACATTTTTTTAATTAAATAGAGCTTTCGTAGCAAAGTATGTATAAATAAACTATCTTTGCACAGATCGTGATCGCTCACTTCGAACTCGCTCGCTTCTTTGTCTATTTATACGAATGAAAGTTGTCTACTTTATTTGTCTTTACGATCCGTCTGCGTTTAGATAATTTCATCTGAAAAATAATCGGACGAGAGAGAAATCTCTATTTTCTGAGGATTCCTCGGTTCGAAGCTGCTATCTTTTTGCGCTCTGCCATTAATACTGTATACACCGAACGACGAGAGCGGCGAGACGGTTTCTCTTTTTAATTATGCGCTCGCGTCTCGCCGTGAATGCAAAATGCGTTCCACCAAAATAGAATTTCGCAAACGGCAGCGTGGAGATTATTGCATCACGTTCGCATGTACGTCCCCCGCGAAAAATTAGCCGAACCAAAAGAAATTGCAAAGTCGAATTTGGAATATTTTTAAGACGCCCACTAAATAAATCGAAGTGATGCAATAAAAACGAAAAAGAGAAGAAACTTGGTTGGAATTTATTTTAACTCCCTCCACCAAAAAATTCATTTCCTTAGCATCAAGATTTAATTCTCGTTTGATAGAAAGAATTTGCTGGAAGCAAATTTTAAATTTTTTTGAGTGAAATTAATTTCTATTTAATTTTAATTTGGAAAGAATGTGAGATATTTAAATTCAAGGTAGTTTCTGCTCAACATCTCTCGGTTCACCTATTTTTTCGAGAAGTCGCCATTTATTTGTGTGTTATCGCCGTTTCTTCGTTCATTTAATATCACATATCACACATCTAGGTGCTAGACGCACGTAGAAATATATAAATATAGGCCAGCTTTAGTAGGCATTTGAAATCCTTAGGTCGTGTTGTGAAGCTCTTGTTGATATCGTGTGATCTTAAAATAGCTGGCGGTTCGTGACTTTTTTTTTTATTGCGTTTCGGAGAAGCCTTAAACATGCAGTAGTTTCATGTTTATTGCGATAAGGATTATCGCCAATGGCTAGCTGAGCTCTTACCTCGACCTGGAAGTATTATACGATTTAGCGATAATTCGCAAACTTCCTCGATTTTTAATCTCAGAGACATTCCGCTAATAATTTCCCTCGGTAAGAATAATTTCGCTTACATTTACCTTTTTATTTATATATAATTGTCTTGGATTCGGCTATATCGGAATGATTGCGTAATCGTGATTGAATTATCGATCCTCGGTTTCTTTTTGTAGTATTTGTAATTATTGAGCAGTCGATGAACGCGCGCATCGACCATTCGGCGATGAGTTCCTTCGTGATATTTCGCTAATTTAGAGTGCTGATTCCACTCCTCTCGACGATGACGTTGAGCTGCTCAGATCCTCCGAGTGGCGAGTGTGCGACGAGTCGAGAGACGTCACCGAGTCGCTGTCGTTGCTGTGCGGACTCGAGTAATTGGCCGCTTCTTGCAGTCTCATCAGCATATTAAGCTGCAAAAATAAGTGCCAAGTGAAAAATGAAAATTATCGCTCAATAGTTTCTCTACACAAAACAATATAAATAAATTTTTCTATCTTCAGAGATCAATCGAAAAGTCTCACAAATCTCAAATATTCATATTCTTCTCACAAGTTTCGAAATATTTCGAACGCTTACCAGAGGATCTCCCTCGGTGTCGCTGTGGGTACTTCCGAGACTCTTCACGCTGGAGGCTCCCACGCCGGAAGTGTGTCCGCTGGAAACGACGTCGTATCCCACGTCCTCGGGTCTGAGGCGCAGGAGAGCGTCGCTGCCGCCGTGCACGGCATGCGTCGACAGCCATGGATAACTAGACGTGATAAATTGCGCGGGATCTTCCCACGTGGGCTCGCCGTTTCCGTTTCCGCTCACGCGTCTTCCGTACAGCGTTAATCCTTCCCTAACCGCCTCCACTAGATAAGGTATCACCGAATAGTTCCAGAGATCGGTGAACCATACCTGAGAGCCGGCCACTTCCATCGGACACGACAGGAAGAGTCGCGGTCCTAATGGATTTAATGAGTTCAAAGTAAGACTTCTCGGCTGAGCGCGAATAAAATTTTATGGCAAATCCGCTTCACACGCTCGGAAATTACTTTGGATATTAGAGAAATTCAAGAAACAGAATAAAATTGTTGCAAGTTTTTAGATCAAGATTCATTTGCAATCTTATATCATTAAGGGGACCCTAAAGTGGTCTGTTTTACCTATTTTTTTCAAATACACTTAACTTTTTTTTGGCTGTGTAGAATAAAAAGTCCTTTTCTGTAAGTAAAGTACATATGCTAATACACTTACGGATGGTTGATTTGAAAGGATTTTTCAAGCCACGCAGCCAAAAAAACGAATTTTACGAAAAATAGAAGGTAAAACAGAGACGTATCTGTTATCCATAAATTGGACATCGAGATCTCGTTGCAGCTTTTGCATTATACATTCCGAGATAGGAATGCGCTTTGAATATTTCCAGTCGATTACCTATAGTGACGTCGGAGCTGCTGTGAGTTTCTAGGAACTTATTGAGATGCAGCCATACACGCGGCAGCCACTCCACCACGGCTGCCATTTCCGCGTTTCTCGTCCCGGCGCACTCGCGCAGTTCGTGCTCCAATAATTTCCTTCTCAGGTAACGTCCCAGGAATCCCTTGACTGGCTCCATGTGGTTCGCGCACAGTACCCATCTGTTCAATTAGGTTATGAAAAATCTGGTTTCTTCATTATTCTTAATTAAGAGCGCACGAAGCTAATGCATTACAGAGACGCAGTATCAATGTGCGCCTTTGCAACGCGAGTATACCTGAAGTTATGATGCAGCTGCAAATTGGTGGTGCTGCAAGTTGCCTGGCTCATGGTGCCAATAATAGCGGGACACGATGAGTGCCTGGTTCCGAGGAGTCCGCTGAAAAGCTCGCCCAGAGACGCCGCGTGCTGAAGATTCTCTAAAATGATCACTCTAGGCAGTTCGTCGGCGGCGTTCGAGTCGCATCTCTCGGCGATATGCGCGAGATACTGGCGCAGTTCTTTGCTAGACTTGTGATCGACGTTGAAGGTCGCGACGGCGGCGGCGTCCTTCGTGTCGTTGTCGGTGTCCACCAAGGCGTGCGCCAGTTTGCCAGCCAGGTAGCTCTTGCCGGTGCCGCTCGGACCGCACAGAATCACTCTGCGGTGCTCCGTTAAAAGAGAGATTAGTCGTTGAACGATGGAGCGAGGTATTAACGTGTCCACTGCCAGCCAGGAGTAGCCTGACAGCACCAGGTAAATAGTCTTCACGTGACCGATCAGGTAGCCGCAAGGCAACAGCTCGGGATGCTGAGAGTCGGATGTGCATCTACGAAAAGAGAAATTGTTTTAGATGAAAATAGAGACGCGTTTGGAGACGGAATATTACAGATTAGAATTGAAATTTGACCCGAAAATTAGTTTGAGAATTATTGTGTTCCGAATTTTGCAGATTTAAGGTTATCAAAGTTCTCGACTTGTACTATTCGTCAGCTCCGGAAGTGAGCACAAGTCCACACTGACCTGGAGGCCTCGCCGAGGTGATACGCGGCGACGCATTCGACGCCGAGGCCGAGATTCGTCACGGGATCCACGCGAGAGACGTACTCTTTGAAGCAGCGTCTCACCATGGAATCCAACGCGTCCCAGCTCGTCTTGTTGCTGATGCACACGCTGGCGATCACGCAGTGAGGCGGCTCGCCCATGCCGCCGTCGACGGAGTTTCCGGTGACCAAATTGCAGTTGAAGTTGCGCTCGCTGCCGAGGTAGACGGCCACGTTGATCCTCTTGCCGTCGGTGTCCTGCTCGAGGGCCGGTTCCGAGGCGGTCGTGCTCGACGGCACGGCGTGCTCGACCGGGACACTGAGGTCCTCCAGCTGGTCGGCGGTGGAACTGGCGTCGCCGTTCGACAGCGCCGCGACGCTCGACGCCACCTCGGTCATGCTGAAGCGCCGATCTGGGTCGCTGGGTAGAGAAGACTGCGAGGAAGTGAGCGACTTCGAGGTCACCAGTCGCTGCAGGCGCTCGTTGTTCTGCTTCAAGTTTAGCATTTCGTACTGAAAGGAGAAAGTGATAAATGTAAAAGTGCAGATTATAGTGGAAATTATAAAAAAAAAAAATAAATAACTACTCGCGCGGATTCTTTCACGTAAAAGTTGCGCTTTCTTCAGTTCAAAAGTTTGAAATATTCTTTGAGGTGGAATTTTTTTCACTTTCACTCTACTCACCCTCATCTTTATGACCGTGTCCTTCAAAGACTCCAGCTGATGGGCGGAAGACAGCGCTTCCAGTCTGATATCCGTCAGCACGAGATCCTTCTCCCTCAACTGCTTCTTCAGCTCGTCCACATCCTCGTCTTCCTTCTTGTACAGCGCCGAGCTGCTCTTGCTTCCCGATAGAGGATTTTCGTGATCCGGAGACTTCTGGCCGTTGCTCCTCGCGGCTTGTCCCCTCGAGGACTCGTGCTTGGACGCGGTCGGCAGTCTCGGGCTGTTGGGGGCGCTCAGATCGCCGCCAGGACTCTCCTTGCAGTCCTCGGCGTCGGACACCGAGCCGTGCCGGTTCTTGCGCGACCTCGAGAACGCTTTGGAGAAGGAGCTGCGCAGCCAGCCCTTCTTCTTGTGATGACTGCTGCTGGCCGAGCAGGCGCTGCTCAGCGAGTTCAAGGACGTCACACTGTCCGCGGACAATTGCCTCGCCATCGACGCGCCCTGATGATGGTTGCTGCCGCTGCTGCTGCCGGTGCAGCCGGTGGTGCCGGTTTCGGAGTCGCCCAAAGTGTGACGCCGGCCGTTGCTCGCAGCCGCGTTGTTCAATCCAGCTTCAGCGCTCTGCTTGCGTAACCTCTCGATCGTCTCCCGGAGTTCTTGAAGCTCAGAATCCTAAAAAGTCGTCGGCAGAATTTTTTGTTAGCAAGAGCATTTGTGAATTCGCGGCTTCATTCAACACGTTGATTAAGCTCAAAGTACTTTCATATTTTCACAATAGAATCTGGGGATATTTTTGGAAAAAGATCAAAATTTTTCAATCGAAACAAATTGTCAAAAACTGATGTTATTACCTTCTTCTCAGCCGTAGCTGTGAGTTGTTGCAGTCTCTGAGTCATGTTGGATAATGATTGTTCGAAAGCTGAGACCACGTGTGCCTGAAACAAACAAAGTGAAGCACAATTTTTAATATCTGCATAATTTTGCCAAGATATAATGAGATGAAATCTTCAACTTCTGAAACGTTTTGTTAACACATCTTGTTATTTCTCTTCCTAAGAATATAAATACATAAGTTTCCGAATTATAATTTTATTCTACAATTTTATTTTGCGCAACAAATCAACTTCATATCAAACTGTTTTAACAATTATTTACAAAATCACAATCCGTTATTTTATTTTTTTATTCCAGATTTACAAAAATGACATCGAAATAGTGTCGCTGCATTTTTATTTCGCTGTATCTCGAATAATTATTACATTTCGAGGAACACTTAACGAGGTAATTCCGATGAGCGCGCGGAATAGAGATCAATAGTCGTTGTAGTCTCTTTTACGGAGCACCCATCATGTCAGGCTATCGACTTGTGTTTCTTGTCACGTAATTATTCTCTCAAGAACATGTTTTCAACGCTTCGCCACGAGGTGAGGAAGATAATCAGCCGTGGCACAGCAAGAAAACGCTCACGCGACGAAACACCCGACAATCTAAACTAGAGCGATACTGATTGCCTCTTGATTTTTTCTCTTTCTCTAATTGCCGCGCTGTCGCTATATTATTTCATATTTATTTAGTTCAACAAAAAATCTGAGATAATAGCACTTGTAATTTTACAAGTTCCGCATTTGTTATTATATAAAACAAACAGTTTATTAAGGTGGCTTTATTTCGATGAGCAGTTGTTCTCAGAATTTCAGATATCACTTTTTATCAACGCATCCTATGTATAAATTTATGTGTAATTTTTCCCCGCAGAAAAAGTCTCGATTTCGCATTGTGCACCGAATCTAACGAGGGGGGTCGGCCGAGCCAAGGACGGGCGGAGCTAAAAACTGGACCGGAAGCCTGCGGCAAAAACGCACGTGCCGAAGAGCGAAATGCATCGCGCGCGATGTATAATGACGTCCCTTGTTCTACAAGGAAAACAGAGCGAACACCGATGTATCTTGACGGAGATGCGGGCGAGCATCTCGGCCGATGTATTTATTCTCAATGAACGTGTCTTTCAAGCTTCCTGATTATGTTTGCAAGTGTAACAATTTTATAAATAGTGGCGAAGCTTGAAACAACTTTACTCGTAAATTGTACCGCGGCGAAAAAGTTGAAATTTTCTTCGTCGAGTATAATATATAAAGTGTTTCGATCTTAAATATTAGAAATTATAGAGAGATATATTCTACGGAATAAGCGCGAAACGCCTGCGATCTTTAAGACATCTGGAAGACCTAGAAGGTCGCTGATGCGATCAAAGTCTGCGAAGTTCAACAGCTTCTTTTGCAGCTATTACACGTAGTTTCTATGTATAGTAAATCAATTTTATGCACCAATTATCAAGTATCGGATATAGATTTACATTCACTTTAAACGTCGCCGATGATCACAATTAGAAATATAGCGAATGAATTATCAAGTGATAAGAAAGCATTTTTGAAATGCATCTATCAAAAAATCTTGTAAAAAAATCACTTACAGCGCCTAATGTAATTTCTCGATGAGATCGAAATGATAAAAATACTTTCATTGAGAATCACGCAATTCGAGATACAAGATCTGAAAAGAATGCAAAGAAGATCCCCAAAATCTTGTAATCCTGCAGAATCCGCGTCTTGACCTTTTCGGCTAAAAAATTTCAAAATCTTACGGCGTCTTGTCTTGAGAAGAATATCAGCTCTTTGCAGCCTGGGAACTGTTAGCCCAGTTAGCTCAGGTCGTAACGCTTCGAGGATTATACCGTGTTCACAACGTAAATTATCCCCAATGTTCCCAGCGTACTCCCCGGTGTAATTGCTCAAGCAGAAAGAAGGGTGAGGATCACTGTTATCCTTAGTAATTAACGTCACGAGGACTTATTTTCAGGTCCAAGGTCTCCCCAAATTGCTTTCTTAGGTTTCACATTTTTTTTCAAGTTCCTTGGGGGAATATTTCTATATTTTAATATTATCTCAGCGACAGCAATTGGGCCGAGTCGTGTTTAATCATTAAAATTAATCTCAAGTTCTTTGCTCAAATGCTTTTTGAATAATAATCGTATAGTTTGTAATTTCTTTAAACAATGCTTATTAATTTAATTTTTTAAATTAAATTTAGATTGTTTTCAGTTCCTTAAAAAAGTAATCTTTTCAATTATTTTGTCACTTGTTATATTTCGAACAGTTTTTCTAAATATTCGTTGCAACGTTCTTCTCATTTTTAGCAATCAATATTTTTATTAACACGAGAAACATTGAAACAAAAACTATTTGTGTTAATAATCTTTGTAAATGTATTTTAATATTATCTCAGCGAAAGCAATTGAAACGAGTCGTGTTTAATCATTAAAATTAATCTCAAGTTCTTTGCTCAATGTTTATTAATTTAATTTTTAAATTAAATTTAGATTGTTTTCAGTTCCTTAAAAAAGTAATCTTTTCAATTATTTTGTCACTTGCCATATTTCGAACAGTTTTTCTAAATATTCGTTGCAACGTTCTTCTCATTTTTAGCAATCAATTATTTTTATTAACACGAGAAGCATTGAAACAAAAAATATTCGTGTTAATAATCTTTGTATCGTTTCAATGACGACTGTGTTGCTCGTAACTGTTAAGTTTCAGTAATATAAGAACCGTAAACAACATGCCCATGTTAACATAAACCACTGCCATCAATCGTAATGTGAGAAAAAAAACACATGATTTTGCTTGGAAAAACTCGAAAAATGAATGCGTGTACGAGATCGCATGTTTGCACACGATACCCGGTCGAAAGTGCACTCCTGAAACGTATAAATCTCTGTTACGAGGAGGAGGAGCAACGCCCCGCAGGACCGTTTACAACACGACAGCCTGTCACAAATCCCGCCGACAATTTTTCCTACCACGTGGCATCTCGACCTCCGGGCTATTTCGATCGCAAGGGAAAAAAGAATAAGGTTACCGTAAACAACCGTAAAATTCCTTTGCTAGGACTACGAGCCTCCGGGCTTGAGTTTCTCGGTAATAAATAACCCTGTGCTGAGAAAAATATCTTTCTTAGAGAGAACGTTGTTAAGAGAAAATTTTGATCTATTTTATCTACTAAAGTTTCTAGTTCTAGATATACATATATATTTTTTGTTTTATTGGCTAAACAAGACGTTTTTCGCCACGAATTTCTTCTCAAAACTCTTCGTCCGAATTATTTCTATTTTCTTTCATCAAGATAATTCGTTTTTTATCTTATTTCATTCATGATAATTATTAAGGAAAAGTTCAAGAAACTCTGCGTACTTGAAAAATGCACGATAAAATTTACGTAAGATATAAATTTACGCGAGATGTAACATATACGATTTTAAGTAATGAGAGACATTGCTGCCGTCGGCGATACGACCGCAAAAGAAGCGCCCAAGTATGCACGGATAATTATTCAATGGAGACCACGAGTGATATTGCCGATATCGCCGCCGTCTTTCTAAATGCACTCAACGCGAGGAGCTCAATTTTGTCCTACGACCCCATCGAATTTATTATTCTATTGCTCTAACTACCCGCAGCAATTGTCGAAAAGAAGGCGCGGTAAATCACATCGGTGCGCATTGCCGCAATCGTTCGGAGCCGCTGCACTCGAATTGATCAATTTGCGCGGCAATCCAAAAGCCGCAAAGTGTCTCAAGTTTCTTCTCCTTCTTGCATTACACAATATTTCCTTTAATATTCTTTTCACTGAAAAGTTCTTATCTTATTAATGAGATTCTGATAAATTTGATTTTTATAATGTCGAATCGCAATTGCTATTACACAATCGTGTTTGAAGAAAGTGAAGAAATTATTTGCATGTCTGATAATATCTGATAACAATATTCCTGGTGTATTTCATAATACGTTTCAGATGGAGAGACAATTAGCATAATTTTGTGTACAATCCGTCTTTCACAACACAATTTCATCGCAGAGCTAATTATGTAAACACCGGCGGACAAGTTGTTTTCAAAGAGCACCGTCCGTTTATCGCACTAATATAACTTGTTCTGCTAAATTAATTCCTCGTAAAACGGTCACGTTTCGCTAATTTCCTCAGCGGACGCAAAACGATCTCGTAAAAGTTTACATGCAATATTTATCATTCAACATATTTGCGGACTTGCACAGAGTGTAAACTGACGCTTTTATTGCAATTTATTTCGCTACAAAAATTCCTTGAAAATTTATATCTGCAATTTTTTCTATCTTACGTTTCTTTGTACTTCTACATAATTAATAAAAACGTAAAACGGAAGTATAAAAATTCTCTCTCTTACGCTTTTATAAGTAATATGAACAATATTTTTATATGATCAATTTCCAGGGATCTTTTGTATAATTATTAATATTATAGCCTTCACTTTGAGAGCCACTGAACTCGCCGGACACAGTCGTAAACCGAACGTGCCTGTCCCTAATTGGACTCATTGATTCTAAATTACCTGCAAGGAAGGGCAACTGCGATGTCGGTACTTCCTGGTGGCCAGCTCCCACCAAGGTATCACGCTCTGCGCTCCTCGCGACGTCACAGGATCACTAACCGCGTGTTCGTACAGTGGCTCCAGAATCACTCCGTTGCCGGAGAATCTCCTGAGAGTGTCGGCTTGATCCTTTTTGAGGTTTCCTCTCCTCGGCAGAGTGGCGAAACCGTTCGACGCGACGTTGCCGTCCGTCACGTCGGACTCCAAGGAGTTGTGTCTGGTTCTGGGCAGGCGACCGGATCGCTCCAGCTGTCCTTTCATTATCACCTCGGTGGCGTCCATCACGTAAACGGGACCGCGCCGGGCTTCGTCCTCGTCGGCGCTTCGTCTCACGTCACTGTTGTAGGAGCAGGATCTCTGCAGAGTGGAGCTCTTACGGGGATTCCTCTCGCCGTCGAGCACGTCCTCGCTGGACTTGTGAAGCGGTCTCGAGGAGATCCTGGGCTTGCGCGAGGGCAGCGTGTCGCAACGACG